GAGGGGTTCCACCTCAAGTGGCACCCCCACGGAGCCCTTGTGAAGGGTTCCAGGCCAGGGAGCTTTTGAGGTTAGCCTCTTCGATGGTTTAATGCCGGAGAATAGAGGCTTCCCTCCGCCCCGATGGCCCAGCCGATGGGTGACCTTAGGGTACAAGCCAATCTAACCGGGACAAGCGCAGGAGATCGAGCGGAATAGCGTATGAAGAGAGCGGGGTCAAGATATGACCAACAATGAACGTGAGTTCGAAATAAACGGACTATTTTACTAAAACGGAGTACACCCCCCTCCGTGGGAAAAGCGGAGCGTAAGGAGGGACGCCTCCTAAGCGCATGAATGGACTAATGTAGCGAAGGGGGAAGGGGAGAAATAAACAGCGAGTTTTTTCTACTTACTTGAGTAGCGATAGTGAAATGACGAGTCTTTCGAGTCCTGGCATAGCGGTTTGGAAGTGTAAACAAAGTGGAATATGGTGGCTTCCTGAGGAAAGTTAAAACTGAAACCAGGCAGTCAGAGCCCAAGACCAGAAGAGGGAGCAGACGTCATGAAGTTGCTAGCGGATATGTTGAAGCCAGTAATGGAGCAACTCGGTGGTATTAACCAGCAATTGGCCACACTAAACCAAAACTTCACTCTGCAGCAGCGCCAGCTGGTAGAAACGGAGAAGAAACTGGAGCATGCAACTGTGAAAATTACAGAGATGGATATCGCAAATAAGAAGATGAAGAAAAGAGTGACGGATGTGGAAACAACACAAAAACTTCAGGAAACTCGTTTGTTACAGCTTCAAATGGAAAAAGCTAACATGACTCTCAGATTTCAGGGGGTGCCTGAAATTGAAAAAGAAGATTTAAAGAAGACTCTGGGAGAGATTATCGCTCCAGTAACAGGTATATCAGCGGATGAAATAGTAAAAGGCATGGAGGCTGCCTATCAGGCATACTCCAATTATATCAGGAAAAATAACCTGCCTGGAGAGATTGTGGTGAGATTCGCAAGAAGACAGACCAGAGATGCGATATTAAAGACAACTTCGGCAACTCCACTGAAAATTGGGAATACAATCATAAAGACTTTAAAGGATATTCCATTTGAAATCCGTCAAAAGAGGAAAGGCTACAAGGAATTGATCTCATTTCTTCAAACTAATGGAATGCAGTACAGGTGGGCAATTCCTGAAGGTATAATTTTTAAAGTCAACGATAAAAGAGAGAAGATTGGCTCCATCTTTAAAGCTAAGGAGTTTTTGAGATGTCAGCTTGGACCGGAAGAAGAACTTAAAGATGAAGAATCCAAGTCAAGTGACTCTGCTACTTCGGGAACGGACAAGGACTCTGTGGGGGAAGCAGGAGCGGGAGCAACGAAAACTGTGTATGACTTTAGGGATAGAAAACCGAAGTAAGGGCAGAAGGACTCTGTAAATTGCTCTTAGAAGTAAAGAAGATGCTCAAGAAGTACTCTCACAAAGATTAACTTACTAATATAGAAGATGTGTTAAACAAGAACTTCACAAGTATATTGTATCACTAACACTTATTTTACTAACATTTAGATTAACATGGAAAGGATGTCCTACTCTTGGGATTTTAGTTAGTGTGGGTATCTTTCCTTTATCCTTAGATGTAGTCCCCCTTCCTTTATTTTTCGTTGTAGTTAATAGTCTTATGAAAAAATAATAAAAATACCCTCTCGGGGGTTTCAAAAAAAAAAAAAAACATAACAGAAGCAATGTTGGATCAGGCCAATGGCCCATCCATTCCAAGACTCTATGTCACACAATGGCCAAAACCCAGGAGGTCCGCCAGTGGGGCCAGAACTCCAAAAGCCCTCCCACTGTTGCCCCCTAAGAACCCAGAATACAGAGCATCACTACCCCAGACATAAGAACGTAAGAGAAGCCATGTTGGATCAGGTCAATGGCCCACCCAGTCCAACACTCTGTGTCACACAGTGGCCAAAACCCAAGTGCCATTAGGAGGTTCACCAGTGGGGCCAGAACTCCAGAAGTGCTCCCACTGTTGCCCCCCAAGCACCCAGAATACAGAGCATCACTGCCCCAGACATAAGAACATAAGAGAAGCCATGTTGGATCAGGTCAATGGCTCATCCAGTCCAACACTCTGTGTCACACAGTGGTCAAAACCCAAGTGCCATCAGGAGGTCCACCAGTGGGACCAGAACTCCAGAAGTCCTCCCACTGTTGCCCCCCAAGCTCCCAGAACACAGAGCATCACTGCCCCAGACATAAGAACGTAAGAGAAGCCATGTGGGATCAGGCCAATGGCCAATCCAATCCAACACTCTGTGTCACAAAGTGGCCAAAACCCAAGTGCCATCAGGAGGTCCACCAGTGGGGCCAGGACTCCAGAAGACTTCTAACTGTTGCCCCCCAAGGACCCAGAATACAGAGCATCACTATTCCTTGTGGCCAACAGCCACTGATGGGACTCTGCTCCAAAGGTTTATCCAATCCCCTCTTTAAGCGGTCTACGCTTGTAGCTGCTACCACTTCCTGTGGCAGTAAATTCCAAGTGTTAATTACTGTCTGGGTGAAGAAGTCCTCCCTTTCAAGTACTTACTTGACAATTTAATGTAAAGGCTACAGAATGTGAGCAAAAACCCCTTTCTGAGGATCCTGAGCCCTACGGGGGAGGGCGGGGTACAAATTTGAATAATAAATAAATAAATAAGGAGGGAGGTAAACTTGCAATTTGTAAAAAGATGTCAGCCGTTAAAACCAAAGGCCAGAGCTGGGAACAGGTAACATTCACCTCCCATTATTCTGCCGCAGAGAACCATTCCAAAAACCTCTCGAAAGCAATTTGAAGAATAACAAACAAACGAACACCAAAGAACAAGTTCAAAACTCATGAACAATGTTCCCTCTAAGCTGAGTTAGTGTGAGCTAGCTCACAATGTTTTAGCCTCCAGCTCACACATTTATGTCCTAGATCAGTAAGGATGGCTCCAGAGCAAAGTAATCCAGCCAAATCGCTCGCCAACAACTTTAATGCCAGTCGCTCACAAAGTAGGATTTCTGCTCACACAACTCCACAGCTTAGAAGGAACATTGTTCACGAGTGCAGGATCTCTCTAGGCGGGGGCACATCCGGCCTGTGCTGAAAGCGCTGCACTGGCTGCTAATAGCGTACCAGGTTCGCTTCAAAGTGCTGGTTCTTACCTTTAAAGCCCAATATGGCCAGGGTCTGACATACCTAAGGGACCGCCTTTCTCCATATGTTCCCCCGAGGGCACTACGGTCGGGGATGCAACATCTCCTGGTGACTCCAGGCCCCAAAGATGCCAGATTTGCAGCAACCAGGGCCAGGGCCTTTTCGGTGGCAGCTCCTACCTGGTGGAACGAGCTCCCGGAGGAGATCCGGGTCCTGCGGGACCTTGCGCAGTTCCGCAGGGCCTGTAAGACGGAGCTCTTCCGCCAGGCTTTCGAGTAGGAGCCGCCATCGCTGCACCACCACCACCAACTGGGCTGGGCAACATCGGGGGTGGGGGGTGGGGATGGCCCTGTAAAAAATGAATGACAGTGCTGCCTGGAACGGATAGCACTGATCTGGGGCCATCACCACCAGGATGCCATCCTGTGACTGAAGACCTTTCTGAGACACCAAGAGCACCTTGTATCGTGATAAATGATTATAAATGATTGTTTCATCTTGTTTTCAACTGTTTTAATTATTGGCATACGGGCCCAGTCTGTGAGCCGCCCTGAGCCCGCTTGCGGGGAGGGCGGGCTATAAATCTAATAATAAAAATAAAAATTAAAGAATAAATAAATACAGTGGAGGATACAAGTATAAAGGTACCGAGTGGCATCAAACTCTACTCAGCCCTGTCTGCCCAAGATGTCTTTGAACGGTAACCTAGTTAATTTCCCTCTAAGAGGCAATCTGTTAGCTTTGGAAATTAACCGGCGGGGGGGTTGGGGAGATCTTCAAGTGCAATGGAGGACCCTCCACGGCTCACCGGGTGGTCGGCCTGCCAAGCTTTCGTCCTCTTTCTGCCTGCCAATTAAGTTGGGAGGCAAACTTTTTTCTCTGTGATTAAGCCGGAGCTAATTAATCAAACCGATTAAAGCTCACAATCCTATCGCTAATGAATTTTTATTCCTTCTCAGAAGACAAATTTACTAATTAAGGGAGGGGGGGGAGAGAAAAGGGAAGCTGTCTTTCCCTCCCCCTTCTCTCCCCCCCCCCCATACCGAAGAGGAGAGAGGGCGTGTCTTGGCTAATCCATGCCAATGTGTCACCTTTGCAAGCTCATGCTTTCCCAAAGAATGTTTCGTCCTCTTTCTGCCTGCCAATTAAGTTGGGAGGCAAACTTTTTTCTCTGTGATTAAGCCGGAGCTAATTAATCAAACCGATTAAAGCTCACAATCCTATCGCTAATGAATTTTTATTCCTTCTCAGAAGACAAATTTACTAATTAAGGGAGGGGGGGGAGAGAAAAGGGAAGCTGTCTTTCCCCCCCCCTTCTCCCCCCCCCCCCCATACCGAAGAGGAGAGAGGGCGTGTCCAGAAGAGGGCAACCAGGATGGTGAGAGGGCTGGAATCCAAGTCTTATTAGGAAAGGCTGAAAGAGTTCGGTCTGTTTAGCCTGGGAAAGAGAAGGCTTAGAGGGGACAGGATTGCAGTCTTCAAGCATTTGAAGGGCTGTCATGTAGGAGATGGAGCGGATCTATTCTCTCTCGTTTCGGATTGCAAGACTAGATGTAATGGGTGGAAATTACAAGGGAGTTGATACCGGCTAAATATCAGGAGAAACTTCCTGACTGTAAGAGTGGTTGAGGAGTGGAACAGACTGTCTCGGGAGGTGGTGGGTGCTCCTTCGCTGGACGTTTTCAAGCGGGGGCTGGACAACCATCTTTCGGGTACGTTGTAGGGCTGTCTTTCGCTTATGCTCCTGCAGAGTGCAGGGGGTTGGACTAGATGACCTGCAAGGCCTCTTCCAACTCTAACATTCCATGATTCTATGAGGGAGCTCACCTGAGCGCGTTCACCCCCTCCCGGGCAATAAAGAAGCTCAACTCCTTCGTGGATTCCTGGCTCTTCAGCAGCTGCAGCTCCACCTCCAACTGTAAAAAAGAAAAACAAGCAGAAACACAGCGATTTAGGGGGACTCTTTAATTTTATCTTTTCCTTGGAACAGATATACTATAATCAGAAACTTCTGAATACGGCAAAGGGAGATGGGGAGGACATTTGATGGCGAGGAGCAGCCATACAGACCCTCCGTTATGCCTGTAAACAGACCCTGAACCCCTTCTCTCCAAGTAAAAAAAAGGTAAAGGTTTTCCTTGCTCGAAAGCCAGTAGAATCAAACTCCAGGGGTGCGGTGCTCATCTCCATTTCCAAGCCGAAGAGCCAGCGCTGTCCGAATACATTTCCATGCTCATGTAGCCGGCATGACTAGACGCCGAGGCACACGGAACGCTGTTGCCTTCCCACCGAAGCGGTACCTATTTGTCTACTTGCAATGTCTTGCTTTCGAACTGCTAGGTTGGCAGGAGCTGGGGCCAGAGACGGGAGCTCACTCCATCATGTGGCACTCAGGTCTCGAACTGCTGAGCTACCAGCCTTCCAGTCTGCAGTTCAGCGTCTTAACCACTTGAGCCACCGCAGCCAGGTACCATCTCCGATATGGGGGGAGGGGGAGGGCAGGAGACAACCCGGCACCTTTGGGATCTACCCCTATCAGAGAATCCCTCTCACTATATTCAGGGAAGGGATGTCTTTAAAACAAATCCTCCAATTTTGGCCAAAATGAAGGATAAATACGTAAGCAATTTTTTTAAAATGACTAGTAGAGAACTGTTTGTTTATATATTTGAAATGAGAGTTTCATGGATACCATGGACTGCCAAAAAAGACAAAAAAGACCAGGTGCACCCCTCTGTGGAAGTTGTTCCAAAACCACGGGGCTGCCACTGAAAAGGCCCTGTCTCATTAGCCTGCCAGATGAGCTTCTTCAATTGTCGGGACAGTCAGGAGGACCTCTCTCTATCATCTTAACTAGAGGAGAAGAATGTCGGGGAGAAGATGGTCCCTCAGAGACCCTGGTCCCAAGCCACATGGGGATTTAAAGGTCAAAACCAACACCTTGAATTGGGCATGGGAGCAGATTGGTAGCCAGAGTAAAATACTAAGGAAAATACCATGGTACCAGTCTATTTCTACTCATGAATTACACAGGGAAGCCTACGTGTGAGTAAATACATCTTCCTGAAAGACCTGTCCCCACTCTGCTGATCTACATGGCAACAAACCATTGTATGGAGCATACATGGTAAGTACCGTTTCTTACTGGGACACACAAGTAGAAGACTTTATTTAGGGCATTAAAAGTTCTATTTACTTCCACATTAGCACCACCTCTTGATCTAAGGATCACCTGATCGGTACACCCATGGGATTTCCGTCACATCCATGTGCAAAGTAGAAGACACAAGTAGTCAATGTGTCCCCCCCAAATATCCCAAAGGCCCCCAGTGGGTTCAAAAATAAAGTAGACTCACATCAAGGGACAAAGCCTAAGTGCGGACCAAGGGGAATGGCAGTTCCATTGCCCCGTCCCGCCACATCTACAAACAAGAGCGACACCAGTAATCTTGCTTCCTAGTTAAGCAATATGGCCAAGGCGACAGGCCATTTTCACTACCAGCCTTTACCTGGATGAGCCAGTGTCATAAAGTGGCTAATATACCAAGTGATGAAAGGTCCCCAGTTCGAATCGAATCTCTGCCATGAACACAGCAGACAATTCTCTCTTTCTCTCAACTGGAAACCAGAGATAAGAACATAAGAGAAGCCAAAGTTGGATCAGACCAATGGCCCATCCAGTCCAACACTCTGTGTCACACAGTGGCCAAAAATACCAGGTGCCATCAGGAGGTCCAGCACTGGGGCCAGGACACTAGAAGGCCTCCTACTGTTGTCTCCCCCGCCCCCCAAGAACCAAGAATACAGAGCTGCACTTGCCCCAGAGTTCCTATCTATACTTTGTGGATAATAGCCACTGATGAACCTCTGCTCCATATGTTCATCCACTTCCCTCTTGAAGCCATCCATACTTGTAGCTGCCACCACCTCCTGCAGCAGTGAATTCCATGTGCCAATCATTCTTTGGTTGAAGAAATACTTCCTTTTATTCATTCCAACCCAACTACTCAACAATTTCATTGAGTGCCCACAAGTTCTGACCGACGCACATCGCTGTCAGAAGGCATACAGCCAGATAAAGAGGAAGAAGTGCTTTTGGACACCAACATCTTATGCAGAGATAATCTGGACAACGCTAGGGGTGCCAACCTCAAGGTGGGGGCTGGAGACCCCCCAGAATTACAACTGATCTGCAGATGACAGTTTCCCTGGAGGAAATGGCTGCTTCGATGGGTGGACAATGCCATTATACCCTCCTGAGGTCCCCCCAACCCCCAAAATCCATCCACCCCAGGCTCCGCCTACCAAGATTACCAGGAATTTCCCAACCTGGGGTGGGAAAGTCTATAAATCTAAGCTCACACCCAGCATAGGATTGTTCTGTGAAAGTGCTAAGTCAGGGGTGTCGAACTCATTGTTATGAGGGCCAGATCTGACATAAATGAGTCCTTGCTGGGCTGGGCCACGTGTGTCATAAAATGTAATGCCAGGTAGTGGAGATATAAACTTTATAAAGGACACAAACACAAAGGGTGTTTTTTTTTAAACTTTAAATAAAAACATGCTTAAAACATTAGCACTCTTGGCAATATTTTGTTTATTGAACAGTGTCTGATAACTGACACCTCTTGCTCTGAATTATTGCATCAAAATATCTGAGCTGTCGCAATCTTAAGTATGCTGTTCAGGTCTGTATCTGTAAGCTGCAAACCTACAATGACGCAGCAGCAGCAGAACTGGAAGAAGAAGCAGAAGGCAGCCAGTTCCACTGTGGGCCTGATAGAAGCCCTCCGGGGGCCTGATAGAAGCCCTCCGGGGGCCTGATTCGGCCCCCGGGCCACATGTTTGACACCCCTGCATTTAGTTCTTATGGCATCCCTTATAGAGGGGTTCAGAATCTTTCCTTAGACTACAGGTCTTTGTCTCTGATTCAACACTGACCCCACAATGGAGAAGCTCCCAGAACCCCTCCCCGTCAACACCTGCCCAACCATCCCACAACTCCTTGGCAAAGGGCTAGCACTTTCATACCACTACGACTTCCTTTTTTCACTTTGCCATCTGCCATCTCTTAAAAAAAAACAACGGCAAAACACAGAGCTTTCTGGGCACGTCAGGGGGAAAAAATAAATGATCCAAGCGCTGCCCTAATTAGAGATGCATACCAAAACACAGGCACCCAGGGCTTCGTCTTTGGCACCAGGGAGATAAGGCATTAGCATACAGTATCCTTCAACTGTGCTGCCGAGATGCACAGCATTCCTAATTCGACTATGCCGGAGGAATAGGTCCAAGTACAGCCAGATGGTACCTTTCGGAGGCGTGGGGGCTCCGCTCAAGTTGGATTGCAAAAAGGAAACTTGTTGACAGCAACATAAGCCATGCCAACCTGTAGCGGGGAATCTAAAAAATTATGCTTTGACACCCCGCTGGAGATTTATACGAGTCAGGGATCATGAAAGTAGGGGCTGTTACTGTTCCCGGGAACTCCATCCCGAAGGCCTCTCTCAACTTCCGCAAAGTACAAAAGAGAAAGTCAGGAGGGTCGGTATTGTGTTACCCCCGAATCCAGTCCCCGAATCATTCCCAAACCCAGTCTCGGCGGCGGAGAAGAGTGTGTCTGCGCCCGTCTCTCCAAATTGTAAAAACATGAATGCACAGTGGCTGGCTGATAAAGATTATCAGCGCAAAGAAACGTTTGCCTCAATTTTCTGATTACCGAGCGTCTCTCTTTCCGCACGGCAAACCCATCACAGATGGCCCGGATAAAGCAGGTGCTCTCTGATAATTCCACGGATATGCATTCCAAGGCGGGAAACTTTCAATTCCACCCCATCTCCGCAGCACCAAAGCCATTTGTTATGTGTGCTGGCTCTCCATCCCTGCTGAAGGTTGCAATGAGGTTTGTTATTATAGTTTCGGGGCCGTTCTCTGCTCCGGGCGTGGACGGCATCCGGAGATGCAGAGCCGGTAAATAGCCTATTTATCATTGGCTAAGCGGGCCTCGGCCTTGAAGCTACCCTGCCACCTGCTTTCCTGACATGAGCAGATAAATTGCTGCTGGCTCCCTTTGGAGGGAAAAGAGGCAAGGGGTTAGTAATAGACTTCTGTGGCTCACAATGGTGTGTTTACAGGGAAAGGAAAGAGGCCGAGCCTGTAATGGAAGTGTGTGGATCACGCTAATATACTGGCGAGCTCCAGAGGGAAAATGTTAAGCGCCCATCGCTGTGACTCGAGAGAGCACTAAGAGGCACACTTAACTGCAGGAAAGGACCTGTATTTTGTCTGTCGGGTTTAAATTTGCATGGCAAATAATTAAATATTCCCCAAAGATAGATAAATCCTGTCCCACATTGCAAATCTGGCAAAAAATAAATAAATTATGGGGCCGCTTTATTTTAAGCAAAATTTCATCCCGGTCAACTGTTTCTAACTTAATTGGTTATCAAAAAATCCTTTCAAATGCTTTGGTTTCCTGTAACAGGATATTTAACAGAAAGGGACATAATTCCTAATAATCCATATTATCGGGACCTGTTATTCTTTTTACGTTTGTAAAGTGACCTATGGTTATATGCGGACCTGTATCATCTTTTGAGATATAGTTAACTCTTACGACTACATGACGTTTAATTAAAAAAAAATGTTTTAAAAAATATTCCCCAAAGATAATTTTTACACCACAGGGTCCCCAACGTGGGGCCCGTGGGCACCCACTAATGTTTTTGATGGAGCCCACCAAGTGTTTTAGAAGGTGGGCAGGGCCAGGGGTTTTTTATTGCCCAGCAGGGTTTCTGATTGGCAGATTAAAAAAAAAAGCCTTGCCTCAGAAGCAGTTGCTACCACAGCACAAGAATATTCACAGCACGACTGAATGTAAGTTGTGCATACGCAAGAGAACATTTTAAAACGGTAT